AGTCCGGGAATGTATCCCCCCAGAATACTGTACAACTACAAGGCACTGTCTCTCTAGGGCCAAAAAGATATATGATCAAGAAATACATGATTCATTTGACAAGGGACAGCATGGCCTTTTACCTGAGTCAATTGTGGCCTATCATAAGGGGCTTGGGATCATCCTCTCACACAATTCCAGGGGGCACTACAGAGTGACAACATGAATGGTACCCCAGGAGTTGAGCTTGTGTGGAAGATTCAATAGCCCTGGGAACCCTATCTATAGGTAAATGCAAATATCTGCGATGTGACACTGATTTTAGACATCTGAGCCAGGTAAGGGAGTAGATAAAAATCACAGGAAATCTTAGAACATAAGGAAGCATGTGTGTTCACACACAGAGATGCTAGCCAACTCCAGAGAGAACGATGCAAGTATAAAATCAAGTGTTTTGGAATTTGGAACGCATTCTCCCATAGAAACAGGACCCAGATGGGGGCTTCTTAGGTTGGCATCCAGGATATAATGATTAAGTTATGAGCCAATGTCTTTGAGTTAGTTTCCCTTAGAAAAGGAAGAAGTTATGAATTTACTCCTTCATCCCCTACTTTTTCCACCTAGATCAAAAAGAAGACGACAAGTTCATGTGGTTAAAACCATGAGAAGAGTCCTGAAGTCAGACATTGCAGGATGTAGAATATAAATCAGAAAACTTGGTTGAATTCTGGCTCCACTGTGTGATTTTGAATATGTAGTTCAACCTCTCTAAGCTTCAGTTTCTTTATCTTTAGAACACAGGTACTTCTATGCTGATGCCACAGTGTGCAGTGTAAGAGAAATGGGGTGTATGAAGGCGCAAGCACAGCCTGTGGTGAGTTTATCAATCACTTTTACTATGCAACAATCTCAAAATCTCAGTGGCGTATGTCACTGGTAAGTATGTCTCTGGGCCTGAGGTTTGGTTAGGGAAATCTCTGCTCCATTACCTCCTTTTGGGACCCAAGATGGAGAGGCAGCAGCTACATGGAGCAGGCATGGTTGCAGAAGATGAACATAGGGAGTAATCACTACCTGGACAGGATAGTATTTTGATTAGCTTTTATGCTACTATGACTAAAAGTTCTGACCACAACAATTTTAGAGGAGGAAAACTTCATTACAGGGCCCACAGTTTCAGAGGTCTCAGTCCATGGACAGCTGGCTCCATTCCTTGGGGCTCAAGGTGAGGCAGGACATCATGGTGGAAGAATATGGTAGAGGGAAGCAGTTCACATGACGATCAGAAAGCAGAGAGGTCTCCACTTGCCAGATACAAATATATACCCCAAAGCCATGCCCCAATTCCCACCTCTTCCAGCCACACCCTACCACTTTTCAATTAATCCCTATCACGGGGATTAATTCACTGATTGGGTTAAGACTCTTACAACCCAACCATTTGTCCTCTGAACTTTCTTGCATTGTCTCACACGTGAGCTTTTGGGGGATACCTTACATCCAAACCATAACAGATAGTTTCTAAAGTGTGTAAAGGTTGCAAAATGTTGTTTTATCCTGGGTGTTACTATCACCAAAGAGCCCTGAAAGTTTCCTTCAGAATTCATGAAGAGGAGCATTAAACTGGGTTTATAAGAGCTATATCTGATGAGCAAAGGGGAACATCTGAGAGGACATGAGCAAAAGTCACTCCTGAAGTAAGGCAGCTGTGGTGCATAGGCACAAAACGGAGCAGAACCATCAACTGCTTCATAGGATGTTGTAGTTCAATGACCCAAAAGATGTACCTGATACCTTCCCTTCCTTTCTTACCACCTCTAATTCTAGATCAAGTCTTTGGATGTACTCCCACAATATAACCTTTACCTTCCTCTGTCCATAGTCTAACGTGTCATCATCTTTTGTCTGGACTACTGCAGTACCTTCTTCATCATTACCTGCCTGTCCTATAATCTATTTTCACACTGGTTAACAGTGGTCTTCCCAAGGTGAATATGCTCTCATGTCAATCACTGATAAAAATGCTTCATGTTCAGGAGTAACATCCTCCACACTGTGCATTCCAGCTTTGAACCCTGTGATCATCTTCAGGACCCCAAACCCCTCATAATCCAATTCATTACTCCTCTCTATTCAGGCTTCCAATTATTTGTCACTTATTCAGAGAGCCCTTTCTGCTCTCCTCAACAAGATCAGAGCCCTCAGTTACAAGCTCTTCCAGCACCACTGACCTCTCCTTTGTAGCATCTCCTATGATATGATATTATATGATATACCTAAGGTCACAGAACTGTCCATCAACAGAATCAAGTCTGGGTGCAAGCAGATGATGTGGTCAGTACTAGGCCTCTCTTTGGTTCCAAGTTACTTTCCAAATGTCTTGTAGAATCACAGCTGCTCAAAGCAAGTAGTCCCTGGAGTTAATGATGCTGTGCACCAGTACAAATTAAAAATGTAATTGGATTTGAAGATTTACAAAGATCTGGGGTGATAGGCTAATACTGCAATATTAAGATTGGAATATGCCTCTAACTTCTGATGTAGTTATTGACTTAATAGATGAGCCCCTAGCTACTATGTGGCTACTGAGCACAGGTACTATATTCAGCAATGGGAATCATCTGAAAGAAAATAAAAATATTGATGGTGTAGCATGTGAGAAAAATGGCATTTATTTAGAAGGAAAGGCTGGGACAATCAGATTATGGGGCAATGTGAATGAGAAGGTCAGAAATTTGTTTTCATCCTGTAGGAAAAGAAAAGCCAATGAATGAAGGCTTTTAGCAAGAGGTCCCTTTCTTCCTCCTCATCATCACAATAAAAATAATGGTGACTGTTCACAGAGCACCTATTGAAGCTATTCTGACCACCCTTTGGGATCAGAACTAATATTAACCCCAATTGAGATGGATAAGGAGCCTTAAGCAAGAATTAACAGAACCCATATGTCAGAGTCTGGGTACGACGCCCTATCTCGCCCTGAACACCCTATAGAATCTCTGCTTTCAAACATACTCCAGACAGTATTGGGGGTGGGGGAGGGTAGAGATAGATGTCATGTTGGGAGCCATCAACATTTCATTGGGTTGGTTCAAGGCAGGAGAAAAGCCAAGCTTCAGGAGAGAGAAAGGGGAACCAGAGAAGCAGGGAGAGAAAGGCAGCTGAGGCTAACAGAGTCCAGAAAAACCACACAGGTGGAATTTTCCAAAGTTCAGGAGGGATGGCGGGGCAGAAAGTTGCCTAGTGGTCAGGCAGGACGGGGATGGGAAAAGAACCACAGGATCTGTCAGATGAAGAGGGCTTTGGGGACTTTACAGGCAGGATTTTCAGAGGAGTGGTGGGGGATGGCGCCAGATTGCTGTGGGCTGAGGAACGAGTGGGAGGTGAAGACAGGACCGACGCTGCAACTCACTCTTTCAAGCACTAAGATGGGAGGGGGAAGGGAAGATGGCCGAAGGGAGGGTTTTCTGTGGGGATGGAGATACAGAAAGACTGGTGCCGCTCGGAGCCAAGATGAAAGGAGAAGCAGGCAGGCGTTTGAGGGCTGCAAGACGTGGGGAGCTCTCCAAGGAAGGACCGGAGGGAGGGCTTTGAGCCCCGCTGTGGAGGGGGCTTCCCCAGGGGCTGTGCAAAGACCAGAGGTGGCCTTGGTTTTCTGTTACCCTAACAAACCTTAGGTAATCAACTAATAAAGAGGTAAGATTCATTTAGGCTCACAATTTTAGGTGTTTAAACCCAAGGTAGGCTGGCTGCTGACTCGTTGAGCCTGAGGTGAGACAGCACCTGAGAGCAGAAACAGGCGGAAAGCTGCTCCTCTACAAGTTGGCGGGAAATGAAAACAGGAAGAGGAAGAGGCGGGGCCAGGCTCCCAGAATCCCCTTCGAGGCCACACTTCCAATGGCCGCAACATCTTTCACTTGACCTCATCTCTTAAAGGTTCCACAACCACCCAATGAGCACCACAGGCTGTTGACCAAAGCTTTGCCACATGGGCTTTTGAGGGACACCTATCCAAACCATACCAGCCTCTTTTTCTTAATAGCCACAGATGTTGACTGAGCGCCTACTCTATGCCAAGTTTTGTCCTAGGTTCTGTGGCTGTTGTAATGAAGAGGAGAATTATAGCATCCTTACAATTGATGGGAGAGACAAATATCAAGGTGCCTAATTAAGATGTGCGTGTGTCTAAACATGGTAACATTAATAATGACTAACGTTCATTGAGCACTTACAATGTGTTGAGTACTTTATGACCATTTTCTCATCAACCTTTCACCAAAAATCCTATGAGGCATTCACTGTTGGAATTACCTTTTGTGGATCAAGAAACTGAGGCACAGATAGGACAGACGACTGCCCAAAGTCATCCAATCAAGATGAGCAGGGCAGGAATTTGCTCCTAGATTTGCCTATCTCCAGACACAAGCACTTAACAGCTCAACGTCTGACTCAATGTGTATTTGAGCAAGGGGCACTAGGATGAACAAGCCTGTGTCTGCGGGATGGGAAGAAGCCTAGCCCAGCAGTATGGGCTTCACCTGGAACTTGTTAGAAACGTAGTCTCCAGCCCACCCCACCTACCAGGCCAGGATCTGCAGTTTAACAAGATCTGCAGGTGCCGAGCGTGCACATTAAAGTTGGAGATGTCTGGCCTACTTCTTAGTAGGGATGGGAAACTGAGGCCCCACCATTGGCAGGTTACAGAGAATGGTGGAACTTTAGGGTTTGGTTCTGGAGTCCACCTAGTCCTGAATGGGTGCTTCCACTCTTAGTCCTAAGAGGATAATGACAGCAGAAAGGATGGGCACCTCGGGAGCTTGGCGCGCGCAAGGTACTTGACACGCGCAGGGAGCTCGGCGCGCACAAGGTGCGCTCGCAGGCTCTCGGGGCCCAGTTGGGCCCCGGCAGCGTGGGCGCCCTGCGGGCCGGGCCGCCGCGTCCCATTCTCCGCGCTGGCCCGGCCCGGTCCCTCAGCTCCACCCCCTGCCTCCCCCTCCCGCCCGCTCGCGCCTCCTGAAAAGCCAGCCCGCCCGGGGCGGCGGCGCAGAGCCGGGCCGGCGCACGAGGCAGCCAGCGCGGCCATGACGGCGGAGAAGGCGCTGCCCCTGGGCAATGGGAAAGCTGCCGAGGAGGCGCGGGAGACTGAAGCGCTCGGTGGTAGCGGCGGCAGCGGTGGCGTCGGCAGCGGGGGCGCGGCGCCCGCGCGCGACCCGCGCGACAAGCGCGACAAGGCTGTCCACGAGCGTGGCCAGTGGAACAACAAGGTGGAGTTCGTGCTGAGCGTGGCCGGGGAGATTATCGGGCTGGGCAACGTGTGGCGGTTTCCCTACCTGTGCTACAAGAACGGAGGAGGTGAGGTGGCACGCGACAGGGAGAAGGGGAGGGGGTGCCGCACGCTCCGTGGGGGTGGGGAGACGGGGGTGGGGTGGGGTGGGCGAGCGCGAGACCCCCCTCCTGCGCCTGCGTGCAGCGGGACCCTAAGGGAGAGCCTCGACCCCAGGCCACCTGAGTGAGCTCACCCGCAGGCACGGCCCACCTGTTCCACGCAGCCAGCGTGCCTATGGGTTGCTTCGCACCTCAGTGTGCCACCTGCCAGTGCGCAGGGACTTGCCGGCCAGGAGAGATCTGTCCCCAGCATGAGGTAACAGCTGAGACCAGCAGGCCTTTGATTTTGGTATTTTCACTGGCATTTTGTCAGGAAACATTTAGTCCCTTTGAGCCTCAGCTTTTTTTTCCTCCCCACTGGAAAGGGACTCTGGTTATTGCCTCAGCGGTCTTGGTTTGGGGGAATTTGCTCAAGTGCCAGGCACCCTATCTCACCTCGGCTTCACTGTCACCTTTGGAGGCGGTGGCATGCTCGTCTTGCAGACGAGGAAAGTAAGGGTCAGAGAAGTTCCTCATTTAACCAGTGTTGAAGATGGGATTCTGGGACCCAAAGCCTTGTTTTAAACTGGAATTGGGCTGACAACGGGGAGAACTTCTTACATGATCTGTTAGCTTTTCTGCCTCACCTTTTAACTTTGCTCTTAGGGTCATTTCTGGGGCCAATATATTGGGACTCTCTGGTGGAAGAATTGGCACCAAGCAGTCACATTTATTGACCTCAGAGTCACCCACAACACAGAGCAAGGACACTGATTTAATGTTTTTGAGAGGTTAGAGATTGTGGAAGGGGGASAGGGAGAGGAAGGTGTTGAGAGAGTCATTTGTAGTAACAACGTCTCCAAGTCAGTTTGCCAGAAGAGGCAGTGGTAAATCTATGACTCTCAGTTCAGAGAAAGGGCTCCAGACTTCAAGACTTCCTTCTGTCACATCAACAGGACAGCCCTGCAAGTCCATGGGAAGGGATCTTCCAAAATCTTCGGTGGCATGTTTCTCCAAGAGAAAGCCTGTGCCAGTACAGTCCCCCCTGACTCTTTTATGGTACCCCCCACCCATTCCTCCAGTAAATCCTTAAACAAGGTGGCTCAGAAGTCGGCTGGCAGGGCCAGTGTTGGACTTCCTGCGGGAGCTGCTTGCAGGGAGAGCAAGAAGGATACTGCTGGGCCCAGGCCCTTTCTTTGGAGACATTCATTTTGAAGGTACAGGCTGCTGCAAGCCTGCTTTGCACTGGTAATGAAGTGGCCACTTATGTTGGTGGTTTGGCAAGGGGGGTACAGAGGGAGTGGACATGGAGACCCCAAAAGTGCCCTGTGCCCTCAGCTGTGAGTCCTGCCTCTCTTGATAGACTCAGCCTTTGTAAATTGTGATGTGCACTTGGAAACCTGTGGAAACTCTTAAGGGGAGGCCCAAGCCAAAAAAAAAAAAAAAAAAAAAAAAAAAAAAAAAAAAAAAAAAAAAAAAAAAAAAAAAAAAAAAAGTTTGAATATATTTGTTCATCCAGGCAATTATTGTGCCAAAGTAATAAGTGTTCCTAAAAGCAAAAATTGGGTAAATTGGGTTAATTACAAATTCTGCCACAGATTTAAAAAAAGAATGTTGTACTGAGTGAAGTTTAAAAATGAGTCATTGCTGGATTTTCTTTTCCTTTCTCTGATTTGCCGAGAGTCTCCATTGGGTACACAGATACCCTGGCTTGATTGAGTTAGTTATTTTAAGGATTACAGTACAAGCTTTATGAATACACAGGCCAGAAGGCTTTTATGAAGTGACATCTATTAGGTTTCAGAGGGTTCCCAGGTAAATTGCAGTGTATTAAGGAATGATTTCAGCTTTTTAATCAATTAGATTTAGATTCAGTAAACAGATACTCTTATTTCCTTTCACACACTTTTGCCTTTTTATATAGTTCAGCTGTCTGTATATCCACAGTTTTCTCTTTTTTTTTCAAAAATCTACATAGCTGTACTCATAGATGCCAGTGATAGTTTAAAATATTTCTTTCCCAGTGTGAAATTTTGAATTAGTTGCTTGCCCAGAAAAACCTAAGACCCTTTCAAAACCTGGTAGATAGGACCCTGTTATCAGGATTGATCAAAATTGTTGCTATTAATCCTTGCAGTTAAAGAGGCTTCATTTAGTAAAAAGCAATTTCAGTTAAAGGCTTCATTTGTGAGATCAGATGGTCGGAAATAGCATGTTTTCATGCTTTGTTATTAGACTGGAGAAAGAGGACGAGGGATTTGGAAAAAAATCCCCTTCTGTTTGTAATAGCCCATGTTCACCTCAGTTATTTAATTTGTTTTGCAGAAAGGCCCAGGCAATGGATATTGTGTTTCAAGATAGGAACACTAAAACTGAGGGTGGTCTTTTCCCAGACTGATCCCAAGCCAGACTTACTGGATAGATTCTTGTTGTGAACTCCATACAATTCAACTGAACTACTGGGACTTGCATATAGGGATATTTAACTCTTTGAAGCCTGATATTGTTCATGATATAATTCCCTGAGAATGCTTTTTCATTATGAAAAAAAATATATTTTCAGATCATTCTAAAAGTAAATAATAGAAAGGGATCTCCCTTACCTAGACTGTTGACATCACTTTAGAATGAAAAACAAAGGGTATAGTATTCAGGATGGTAATCATCTTGACCTATGTCAAAGCACAGAATATATAAATTAAAGAACTGAGCAAATAAAACCCTTTCTTTTATATTGTCTTCATAGCTACCCATTAATTTTGGAAGGTAAGCAATATAGACATTAAGGATTAAAGTCCCATTTTACAAATGAGGGAGCTGAGAATCACAACTGTCTTGCTTAAGGTCATAGATGGCAGAGAGCACAAACATGGGGCCACACTCTCTGTCCCTAGTTCCTAGCTGAACTGGAACTCAAGCTTAGAGACCATCACATCTTGCCTGTGGTAGGTGCATATTAAAGATTTCCTGTGCCAAACATGGAATGATGAGAAAAGTTTTAATCTCACTCCTTCATCTCCTTCCAGGGGCATTCCTGATTCCCTATGTGGTGTTTTTTATTTGCTGTGGGATTCCTGTCTTTTTCCTGGAAACGGCTCTGGGGCAATTCACAAGTGAAGGAGGCATTACGTGTTGGAGGAAAGTCTGCCCTTTGTTTGAAGGTAAGTGTTGATTTAATGAGAAATAAAGTTTTGCCCCCAAAATGTCAAGCTACAAAGAGTAGCTGAAGGCCGTTAGGAAAAGATAGAAACTCAAATTGTTCCCTTTCCTTTTACCTTTCAGGAATTGGCTATGCAACACAGGTGATTGAGGCCCATCTAAACGTGTATTACATCATCATCCTGGCATGGGCCATTTTCTACTTGAGCAACTGCTTTACCACGGAGCTCCCCTGGGCTACCTGTGGGCATGAGTGGAACACAGGTATGGACTGCAGGGAGGGTCTCTCTGCTGGTGCTGGTGGAGGACCCGGGATTGGGGTCTTATCCTTGGCCTCTGGGCTCTTGTCATGAGTCCAGTTTCCTAGGAGTGGCTTTACTAGTCTGGGTCTGTTTTGTTAGTTACAGCCTCAGCTGAGCTTTGGTCCAGGGTTTGGCATGGTTAGGAGAATGGAGATGCTCTTGGCTTACTTTGTTAGATGCAGAGAATGAGCCCCTGGGGGACGAGGTGTAGAGTATGAATAAGTGTTAGATTCAGAGAACTAGATCCCCAGTTTCAGCCCTACTTCTCCAAATGGCCAGTTTTCCTCTGTAACAGGAAGGGGTTAGACTAGATGAAGGGCTGCAGACGAAGGGCCTTTAGGCTGATCCATCTTTAGATCAATGAACAGCAAACTGAAAAATGTATTTGTTTACCAGAATTTTAAAGTCTGAATGTTTCATGTGAAAAATCCAGACTTCCAGCTTCTCGTTAAAAATTCAGAGATTTGGCAACATTCCTACTTGGCAGCAATGACTGCAGCTGAGAAATAGCTATTGCCTTTGGGTGACACATCTGTCCTCAAGTTTCCAGTGATCCCACCCAGATTACTTTGTTCATTTACTTTACCTGTTCAGCCTAGCTTGACATTTGAGTTCAGCAGCTGCCCCCTTCCAAGAATGGATAATACTTTTGATTTGATAGACTGTTTTGTTTTTCAGTTTTAGAATTGGGTTTTATAATCTAGGGAAGAAAAATCTGTCCAACCTATTTCTGAGATGGCTGTGCTTACAGCAGGCATCACTAATTGATTACAGCAATCTCTTCTTTTGAGTCTAGTCTTAGGCTTGGAGCTCTTATCCATGCTCTGGCCAGCTGCTACCTTTTGACTAGAATTGGGGCTCACAGTTAACCCACTCACCATCCATTTTATAATCTGTGGTGAGATCATGTCTGGAAGTGTCCTCTTAGCAAGACTGGGTAGGGTGCTGGTCACCAGCAGACAGAACTGAAGGCATTAGACCTGGAAATTTCTGAGATCTATTTTCTGTCCCCATATGACTGTCCCCTGACACTCACATCTTGTGGTGGCTTCACTGTCTCTCTTCAGAGTATTGTTAATCTTCCTTTCGCAAGGGACCTTAGATGTTCATCAAACTCAAATTCAAGGGCATCTTCTTGGAGGCCTGTGAGTCTTCCGTGATAATTTAATTGTGGATATTATGAGAATACTCTGAAAATATGTGCATGTTCTGAATCTTAAGCTGAAGATGGTCAGGAGAGTCCACTACCCGAATTTGCATGTGTTTGTAATCTAAGAGCAATTCATGGCAAATAGAATGATAGTGGCCAAGGGAAAGAGAACAGAGAAAGGTTGAATTCATAAATGGTCTGCTGGGGGAGTGAGGGTTTGGCTTGGTGGTAGAGTGAATGCCTGACATGTGTGGGACCCTGGGTTCCAACCCCAGCATGCCAATAAATAAATAAATAAGGTGCATTGGTACTAAGCAAAGTCCAGTTGAGAATGCAGTTAACTGTACGAATGAAGGTTTTTCACAAGTGTAACCAGCAGAAACTGGTTGTAGAATTGAGACTCAAATAGCCTGTGGAAGAATGAGGCAGATGATCTCCACAGACTCTACTGTTTACCTGTCAGGTGCATTTTTTTTTTTTTCGGTTGGGGAAGCAATTTAATTTCAATAAAGGGCATTATTCTACAGTCATGTGATATTATCACTTTGAATTGTGTTGGTTCCATAGTTGAGTTGGTATTTGGCTTATAAATTTAATCTTGCTTTTCTAGTTTTATGACTTATAAAACACAAAGACTTTACTAGCCCATTGTCTATTTGTGCATATCATTTTAATAAAAATAACTCATGAACCTTGGGTGTCTGCAGTATGTTTTTTAACTTTAGGCAAAAATGTGAGAAACTTTATTTTATTAATTGATTTCTTGTATTTTATTTTGAGCCCAGGAAAAGGCCCAAGACACATCAAGTCATAATTTCAGTTTTCTAGACTCCTCTTAAGACTGATTGTGAACCTCTAGACCACTTCCTTTCAGAATATAGTTAGTGCTTGCCACAAGGAACCATAGAGGCATTTCTGCAGTGGACCACCAACCTCTTTGTTCCACCAGTTTGCAGTCCCCTTTCTCTAAGGCATGTGAACCCTTGCAGTATGCAAAATATCATACACAGGAATATAATTTCTTTCCCCAAAGATGGCAGATGAAATTTGAATGGTTCTTACACACATGAGAAGAAAAAAATGTACCAGAGCCAAATGGGTGCTGGCCACTGTTCTGGATGCATGAGGTTCTGAGCGAGCCAATGCAGGAAGCCCTATCCCTAGGCAGCTTGCAGTCTGGTGGCCCAGGCAGCTCTAAACAGAGAAGCACGGGTTCCGTGGTGGCTGATACTACCAGGCATTCACCATGCCAAAGAAAATGGAGCCCTGGCTAGAATTTATTCTCAGTTCCTTCTTTCTAGAGGAAAGAAAAGGTGCGGGTGTGTGTGTGTGCGGGGGTGTGGGGGGTGTCCCTTGACTTTTTCTGAACCTTAGATTCTTTCCAAAATAGATGGAGTTAGAGAAGGTAATTCCTGGGAGGGCTTTTGAATTCTGGCTTGCTTAGGATTCAGGGGAAGRAGATCAGGGTTGGCTTCCTGGAGGAGTAGGAGGGATTAATGGGTTGCTCTGAGCCTTGACCAAAGAGCAGTAGGAGATTTTTACTTGAAATTCCCTTGGCCATCAAGTTTCTGAGGAGAGGTCTTCAGTAAGTCCTTTCTGATGAATTGGATCCTATAAGGGAATGACGGAGAAACCAAGGATCTTTTACGCATATAGCTTCTCACCATTTTATCCAATCCTGACATCTTCATAAGGCAGATTGTAGTATCAACCCCCCCCAACCCCCCCCCCCCCAACTGTATTTCTGCCCTACGGACATCACAACTAGATCATTTCCTTAAATCTCCCCCTTCAGTCCAGTGCGGGCCACTGGGTAGGAGAGATAAATACCACAGACAGGACTTGGGGCACAAAAGTGGAAAAAAGCAAAAATGGTTTGGGAATAAGGTTGGAGGAAAGAGCGGGATGGGGCCTGTTGGCTGGGAATGGAAGAGACTCAAGTCCCCTGCCCCCAGCCCTTTCCTCCTATCCTGGTCAGACCGAGCCTCTCGTGAACTATCAGGAAAGCATTGATTTCCACCCCTAATGCTCTTGGAGTCATGTTTGCTTGGAGCGGCGAGTTAAAGCTGCCAGCATTGCACCATCAGCGCTGAATGTTTTCCCAGCTTTACCTCTCACGAAGGTTAATTTTCTTGTGTGTCTTGTCTTTTTTCCCACTGTAGAGAATTGCGTGGAGTTCCAGAAACTGAATGTGAGCAACTACAGCCATGTGTCCCTGCAGAACGCCACCTCCCCCGTCATGGAGTTTTGGGAGTAAGTGGAAAAGCACTTGTCTCCCTCGGTTGGTGGGGACTCTGTCCTGCTTCTGCTCATTTGACCTTGTCCCCATGCCTGGAAAAAACCTGACCTTTCCTCCAGTCTGGCAGTTCCTGGCTTCTGCGGGCTTTTTCTTTTTTAAAAAACAAATAAAAAAGAAATGTATTTTCTTTTAGTTGTAGATGGACACTAATACCTTTATTTCATTTATTTATTTTTATGTCATACTAAGGATTGAACCCAGTGTCTCACGTGTGCTAGGCAAGTGCTCTACCACTGAGCCACAACCCCAGCCTCTTTTGTGGGCTTTTGAGTATTTGAGAAGCAAGTGTGAAGATCCTCTGGGGTTTCCTAAAGGGACAACAGAGAGAAATACCTTCTTGTTTTTTGATAACATGTCAGCATGCCTAGTTGCTTATTAGGGCAGGAAGTGTGTGATAAAAGGATAGTTTAAAAAATTCATCTCGAACAAAAGAAGATAGAGTGTGTTTGCAATAAGTGAAGTCAAGAGTATATTTAGCCTCACAGAAGTCTCCAGGGGGGACAGGTCTGCTTGCTCTCCGTAGCTGAAGTGGCATGTGGAAAGGAAGCAGATTCACTTTAATGGAGAGAAGTTTCAAAGAGGCAAGTTTCAAATGTGCTTAAGGAGGAAGTTGGTCTCACAGTGTTGTCTGAAACTACTTCAGAAGATTGTGAGCATCCTTTACCTGGAAGTGTTTGACTGGAGTTAGACAGCTGATTACCATCAGAGATGTATCAGAATCCCCTGAAATTCTAAGCAGGACTGTATGGGTGGGCATTTCCCTAGAAATGGGCATAGTTTCATCAGAGTTCCAAGCATACAGTTGTCTTAGTTGCACACTTTACAACCTGAGGAAGCATTATGTACATTGTGAAATGTGCCCTCCAGGATTATATAGTATACAACCTGTATAGCCATACCCAGAAGCCCTGACTTTGGAGTTTCTAAAGTAGAAGAAGGATTATCCCCTGCCCCAGGGTATAGAAGAGATGTTTCCTTTGAGTCAAAGTCTGGACTGAATGCTTTCTGAGATTTTTTCAGGCAAAAAAGACCTGGCTCCATTGAAGAAACCTCTCCTTCCCTTATGCTAATGAATAATAGTGTGTGGGGGGACAGTGTTTCATGAAGGATTGCGTTTTATCCAAATACCATTTTTCTCTTTTCCCTTTCTAGAAATCATTATGCTGAATTTAGATTTGTAATCCTAAAGCACATCTTCAGCTTGTTTCATGCCTCTAATAGTACCAAGGTCTCGCTTACATTTTTTTATATATTTATTTTTTAGTTGTAGTTGGACACAATATCTTTATTTTATTTATTTATTTTTAGGTCATGCTGAGAATTGAACCCAGGGCCTCGCATGTGCTGTACTGCTGAGCCACAACCCTCGCCCTCTCTTAGATATTTAAGAAACAAATTATATCTATGGTATCCATTACTAACATGTTTTACAACAACTTTGTTTCTTTGATCAGTGCTGGTTTGGAGATGTATCCATATGGTTAAGTGTAGCTTTGGTTCTTTATTTCCCCCACACTGCGGTACATTGTTGTATTATATGAATAGCCTACATTGTATTTATCCTGGTCCTCTTGATGGACTTTTAGCATGTTGCCACTAGTATTAGGCACACTTAGTGAATGTCTTGTCCAGTGCTTTCTTTAGTACCTGAGTGGTTTCCAAGCTGTGTAACTATCTTGTCTGTTAGCTGGTTCTTGTCAGAAAACCTCAGACCTGGTAACTCACAAAAAGTTATTTCTTGTAGTTCTAGAGCTTGGGAGGTGCCAGGTCGAGGGAGCCTGGCATATGGCAAGGGCCTGCTGCTGTATCATCCCATGGTGGAAGGCAGAAGGGCAAGAGAGCATATTTGCTTGAGCAGTCAAGGGGGCCAAACTTATCCCTTTGTCAGGAACTTACTCATCAATAACTAACCCATTCCCATGGTAAGGATATTTATTCATGGGGTCAGAGCCCTCATGATCTAATCACCTCTTGAAGGTTCCACCATTCAAAACTGTTGCATTAAGGATTAAATTTCCAACATGGAAATGGTGGGGGATCATAGTAATACCTAATAGTGGCTTTGGTGGTTTGTAGGGTACATGCATGGTAAGTTTTATCAAATATTAGATAATACAAAGTGATTCCCTAATTTACATTCTAAATATGTATGTGTGCAAGAATTTCTGCTGCTCTATGTTTATGGAACACTTGGTCTAGCCAGTCCTGTTTTGTTCATAAAATGGGTGTGATTGGTATTTCACCATTTTAAAGTTGTATTTCTCTAATTACTTATGAGGTTGAGCACTTTTTCATGGTCTTTTTTTAAATGAATTTGTATCTTCAGGTTCATACTCTTTTCTATTTGGAGTGTTTGTTTTTTTCCTATAGAAAGGAATTCTTGGTACAGGCTAGATGTTAATCATTGTGCTGGAAATATATTTTCCCAGTGTGTGGATTTTCTTTCTCATTTATGGTGTACAGAATTTTCAATTTTATTGAAGTTATATTTGTCAATCTCTAAAGAGATTGGTTTGCATAATTGGCATCTAATTTAAGATATATTTCTGTACTCCAAAGTTGTAAAAAAAAAAAAAAGTTATGTATTTTCTTCTAAGAGTTTTGAAGTTGTTGTTTTTTCCCCCACATTTAGGAACATAGTCTTTTTATTTATTTTTTACTTATTTTTTATTTACTTTTTAGCTTTAGGTGGACACAATATCTTTATTTTATTTGTATGTGGTGCTGAGCATCGAACCCAGTGCCTCACGCATGCCAGGTGAGCGTGCTACTTCTTGAGCCATATCCCCAGCCCCAGTCTTTTTATTTTTTATAAATTTCATTAAAAATTCTTAAAATTTTTGCTGTGTATGAATTTTGTTCAGATTTTTATTTTTTATTTTCATATAAATAACCAATTATCCCAACAGTACTTCCTGATCATTCATCCTTACTCTACTGACTTACAGGGCTATCTTTTATATATCATTTTCCTAAAAGCACGGGTCTGTTTGGGGCTCACTGTCCTGTTTCATTGTCACCTTAGTCTATCTCTGTGTCGATACCAAAACTATAGTTTTATGTAAGACAAGCTCTGGCAAGGCAGCTTCCTCATTTTTTTTTCCCTTTCCAAAGTGTTCTTAGTGTTCCAAATATATTTTAGAATCAGTTTGTCAGATTAAACAACAGTAACAACCCTAAAGAGAAACAAAAAACTCTGGGGTTTTGATTGGAAGTCTATTGGAGAAAAGTGACATCTTCGTGATTGAGCCTTTCTACCCATTTATTTAGGACTTTTAAAATGCTTTGTTAAGTGACACTACTTAAATGTGTTCTGCCTAATAGTGGAATTGGTGGGTTGTAGGGTACATGCAGTAGCATTCAAAACTCCTGCTTATCTACCCCAGACCTAGTGAATCACAGTCTCAAACTGAACATCTGTAAAATATGTACTGGAGAGGGGGCTTCTGTGCTAAGTGAGACTGTGTGGTTTATTCCTGACTTCAATGAACTATAATCTCCTGAAGGAATGTCACAGAGACATATTTTTAGACTAGCACCTTTAAAGGGTCTACAAAATGCAGTTTCCATACTTCCTTAGGGAACCCATTCCCAAGTCCTAGACTAGATGTGGTCTCTATGTAAGTTCCCGGATTTTTTTTTTTTGCATCATTCATTCCCTTTGTATCATGTATACAAACCTTTAGTTGAATATTACTCATATTATATATTTGTTCATTGTGTTCACTGACAGGCAGTCATGAAGCAGCACCTGTCTGGTTTGACTCACCACTGCCAGGATATGGAAAACCCTCAATGAATATTTATAGAATAGATGGATAGATAAGAAGCAGGGAGGCAACATGTTCTAGAAAATACTATAGGAGATGTGCCAAGGGGCCCCTGGCAAGAGCTCATGCTGTCATTAATATTCCCACTCACCAGCATCGATTAGTTCCAGGACCTGTTTGCAGTATCCATATCACTCACTCATTTTGGCCACCACGTGGCAGGAAGGGACAGATGGTCTGCATTCTCTGTGTAAAGACCTTTTTGCCAGCTACTTGGCCATTCTAGATGAATATGCATGGGAGAATGAACTCATGAGTTGGTTTCCTATTCAGATTGCATCTGTATTATCTACACAGTGTTGAATTCTGTATTCTAAAAGTACTCCCATAGTGGTGTGACACTCATCCCTTCATGACATGCTTTTGTCAGACAGCTCCAATTCATCTTTTCCCCAGAGATGAACTTGGGATGCAGAGACTGTAGGAGATGTTGATAGCATCCTGTGAAAATCTGTTGAGCCACAGAAGCTTTGAGGAGGGCTGAAAACTGTCTCTTGGTGAGAACATCCATGTACCTGAGGCTAACCCAAAGCCCCAAACTTATTCTCCTGTAGAATAAATTGGAATCATTTCCCTCCTCCCCCTGAAATCTAGCATTTCACTAAACTTGTCTGGGAAACACTTTGCTATGAAGTCTTTTTTTTTTTCTTAAATTCAATTGAAAGTTAGTTTCTGGGACTTTGGATAAAGCATTCCTAATTCCTTTTCCATGTGACAGCCCTTCAAATATTGGACCCACTTTCTTAAAAAAAATTTTTTTTCTTACCAATTCTCTTTGCTTCCTCTCCCCTGATGTGGCTTGTTCATGGATTCTCCAGTTCTGTCCATGACTTTGGTGTGCTGGCTTCTGTCCTTGCCCTGCCCCCAACTCCAGGGGCCTCATTCAGAACCACACTGCTTGGTTAAAGTAGAGGCCGTGGCTGACTGCTAGTTCATTCGTTGCACAAATGTTTGCACTCCTGGTGTGCATAAGAAAGACACTGTGCACATTCAGGCCAGGCAGAGTGAAAGATAACATTCTAGTCTCTAGACGCAGAGGTGAAACCCAGCCCATAGATTACCATAAAGTCAGTAATAAGGTGCTACTTTCCTATCCACAACTGGATGTGGCTTTGCCTTGCCAT